GATTTGGCGCAGCTGCTACTTATTTGTTGATTTTACTGCAATTTAATGCAGATTTTACGACTTAGTTATTAGTACTAAGCAAATAATTTTACTACTATTGCTTGAATTTATTTAGAAAATTATGTATAAAAATATATTAATACATATATGTATATGATAAAAATATATTTATATCCAATAAAAAAGTTTTTTTATTCAGCCGCAGCAACATTCTTCATGAAAACTTCACATTGAGATTTTGCTTTACAAAGAATAATTGTTTTATCAAAATATTTATTAATTTACAGAATAAAAAAAAATGTTTCAATATATTTGTAAAATAATTTAGACAAATAGCATACAAAAATTGTATTAACTGTATTTTTTTTTTAAGTTATACAAAATATGTTTTAATGTCGAAAAAGCAGACAAATAATTATTTATGGCTTGTATGTATGTTCGTAATTAAATGTAAGACAATCGAATTTAAAATGAGAAATTATATAATAATATTATTTATTTACAGAAATATACTTTACATCTTACTAATCAAGTTGAAATATCAATCACAATTTGATTCTAAAACACCACGTGAAGGCCAGAGCTGGCGAGTACTTTAAAGCACTGTCTTAGCATATTCCAAAAATTGAACAGAAATTAAAATTATTCAGTTTGAAATATATAAAAGAAATAATTTTTGAAAAATAAGTTTTATGCACATCATGCATAAATAATTCAGGTCTCAAATCATATATGGTAACAAATAATCTGAAAGATCTTTCACAATCATTTTCTTCATAATCGAATATATCTATTATTTATTCTGCTATTCTATTTGGAACCATTTTTTCACAAAAATAATTCGTCTCATTTAATTTAATCTTTTATATATAATCGCCAATCCAATATATAATCCAAGATCTTTAAATTGAGGTATCAAAGGTAATGTGTACAAAATAATTCATAATCAAACAAATATTGGAGTACTCGGCAGCTCAATAGCCACTACTTTTGTCAGCAACATTAATTACACAATTTAGGTGATATACATATCATATCAGAAATTCTAGCTTCATATTAATCAACACAATGCTAAACATTATATAATGTATAAATGTAAATCATAATAATTGACTAGAATATGAAAATATGGTAAACTAATTACCATAAAACATATCATCTATTTGATAATGTGACTCATTCGCTCCATTATTGCATTTTTTCAATACAAACTGCAAGTTTTCATTTTCAACTAAAATTAACAATAAAATTAAATTTAAATAGTATGAATGCTTTATTATATAGCAAATCAAGAATAATTGTAAATACTCCAAGTATAGTTATGAAATAAATCAAATTTCAAATAATCCAAATAGTGTTTTTGATTAACACCAATTGAAGAAAATAATGTTTGCTGTATGTTCTTTAAAACATTGTTAACATTTTCACTACATGTATTTAAAAATATTTAATCATTATTATTAAAAGTATATGTTAAATATAACGAAATTTTATATATAATCAAATGTACATGGAAAGTAGCAATACCACAAGGTATCATAATTATTTAAATGAATTTGTCTATTTTTTAATTCTTATTGAAGACATTAAAACACTGAATTCGCTTCATTTCTTCTGACTCATTATATAAAGGTAAAAACTGAACATTAATTTAAACCTTCTAAAAAAGATCATTTTATTTTACTTATCAATGTGCAGCCTATAAATTACTGAAAAGTATCATTCTTCTAAATTAACATTCTTCTTGTTGCGTTTATTTTATGTTAATCTCATTAGTTTCTATATAATATATTTAATAAAAAATATATTGTATGAAACCAAATCAAAGTTTTCAAATTGTAAAAATGAATAAATTAGAATCTCATCAATTAAGACGTCACTCATATAATCTAAGTGTTTTGTTCTCTAAAAAGTGATTTTACTCGATATTTAATATATAATTAAACCATTATATTTCAGGTAATAAACACAGGTTAAAGTCCAGAATAAAAGAGCAAATTGATTATTTTGCTAAAAACTGGTCATTATGGTTTTGGTCACATTCTTTAAATTGCCTAATTCGAATAACAAACTGTTTAGGCCAATTAATACTTGGTATAATACACAAATATTTAAAAAGAAGTTGTTTATATCCGGAATGAGCAATTAGTGATTGAAAGAATTCTAAACAAAAACAACTAGAAACTAAATTATTAATTTCTATGATGGTATGATATTTAAAAATAAAAAACAATTTATTGGGTTTGTTCACAATAGTGATCAATAGGTATACCAAAAATTTAGTTAAATAAGTAGAAACTAAAAAATATATAGTTTTTCATTTTTTAATAATTATTAAAAAAGACAGTTTTGAATAAATTTATGTTCTGTCTGTTGCTTAAAAGTCAACCAAAAAAACGTCTTTAGGTCCTGGGCGATTTATAAACATATTAGTATTTGGTTATAACCTTTCCCAATTTAAGAGAAAAAAAAAAACTATTATATGGCGACAACAAAATCATTACGATTAAATTTCATTTATGAATCTGACACTATAGTATTAAACATTTTTAGTATATGATATGCAGAGCAAAATAATTATTATATGTGTTGTCCTATGACTAAATTTGTTCATATAAAAATAAATGGGTCTTTCTTTACCCGATAACAAAATAATTTTAAAATTTATGTTTTTTAAACCGATATGAATATTTACCATAATAATCCTGAGTTTAATAATAATCCATTAGCGCTTGTTTTGGCATAAAATTTAAAACTCCTTATTCTTCCTCAAATGTTAATATAATTTCATTTTATCATCTGAAATTTAATTTTATATTAAAGCCTGACGTAGAGTCAAATGAAATTATCTTCATAAAAAATTATGATGAATATCTTAGGGATAACCCTATATATTTTAGGGATATTATTTTTTGGCATAAGTTAACTTTGGGGTTTGATAAAATAACATTTCACTTTTGATATATCTTCAAATAACGAACACAGTCGAAAATGAAAACCTTGTAAAGATTTTTATTCATGCAGTCTGCAAAACTAATGACATTTCCATATATATTTAAATAGACTAAACATAAATATTATCATTTGTTATGACTTTAACATAAAAACAAAACATCACTTATTTATCATTGATATAAAGTTATAATATAAGGGTGCCAACATAAGGCTATTTCATACTTTGCAAAGAGATATACGATTACAAACTAATTAATTATCTTCATTGTGAAATATTTTATTACCTATTCTGCGACATAAATGTTTTAATTTTGTTTATTATATGGATAAAATTATTCACAAACAATTATGAATAAAAAGTCGCTTTTTTTAAAAGATGGCGTCCAACCTGTTAATGTTGGCCCCCTCAAAAATTCAGCTTTGAAGGAGAATTACACTGAAATCAGTACTAAATAATTTTGAAATGCTGTGTATTATTGGATAATGTATCGCGTCAATATAGAACAAAATTTCAAATTTGAATTATTATTCATACTATTTGGGCATTTTAACAAGAAAATTTTGCTACAAATTATAAAGTTAAAAAAATGTGAGCCTGATTCAAATCAAATAATGCAATTCACCTTCATCACTGTGAATCTCTGTACATATTAGTATTTTTTATTTGTCATTATTTGCATTAATTGAATTTCATTTACATAAATAAATTCAAAAAGACAAACATATACCATATTTATAAAATTTAATTTTGAGTAAATAAATACATAGTTGTTTAATTATAAATTATATACAAAGATCAATATCATAAAACAATGCATAATAAAACTTATGAAAAACTGAATATGTTTTAAACATGCACATTTTACTGTTTTCGGATTTCATTGTAAACCATACGGTTGATGTATTATCGAGTCACTTATGTGACAAAGCAATTTGTAAAATTATGCATTGATTATTAACATAATGCAGGCAAAGGTATAATGGTAATAAAAAATTAAAAAATATGACTTAGACATCTAAAAACAATTAATTTGACAAGTCTACTTCATCAACATGACCTGAGTTTCTACTTCTTTGGATACAATCTACATTTTAACAATTAACAGCTGCTCTACAAACACTCATATACTCAGCACAATTTATTACAGGTCTACACATGCACATATAAGTACAAAATTTATACACTCTCATATAATCTATAATTAAATATTAATAAGATAGACATCTATATTTATAAAAATTGAGTTTAAACTTATTTAAAAATAAAAGAAAAAGAACTGAAGTATAAAGTAGACTACCAATACAAAATAAATGAATGTTAATTAAATTAAAACTGACCAGGAATATTCAAATATAGAAATACGCCTCGATATGTAACATAACTGTTCCCATTATAAAGAGAAAGCAAATTAATTTTGTTATTAAATGTGAAGATATGACCTAATTATAACTTGTGAAAAATATCTCAATTTCATCACAAACAAATAATATTCAATTTTATTGATTTTCATTTATGATTATCAAAATTATTAGCTATATAAACAAAACATAATATAGACAACAAATTAATCAGAGAATTCACAAGTATAATTATCTTTCCACACACACTCACTAACATTCCAACATTTATATTTTGTAAACATATGATTATATATATATATATATATATATATAATATATATTATATATGTATATATATTATATATGTATATATATATATATATTATATAATATATAGATATCATATGCATAATGTGTGTAACATATAGTATCATATACTCGTATGCCCCATATGCACACATATGTAAAATAAAATAAATATGCATATGAAAACATACATCCTATTGCTATTTATATAATCATACTAAAATATTAATTTGTTTTTGCACTTGAATTTTTCATATTTCACAATCAGCTACTTTTGAGAATATAATTTTTGTTATCCATATGCAGTTAAGATAAGTTTGTTTTCGCAGTAGTTTGGCTTCTAATAGTGTGTGGTCAAGAATTTTGATTAGAGGTTTAACAAAGGCCTTAGGGTGCTATACAAAATATTTAGTTTATTACAGGAATGCCCAGCACTCAAGTGTTTTGACCACAAAATCCTCTTGAGGGGCAAGTGGTTCATTTGCATATGTACTACAGCGCTGTGAACGCCCTTGATATAAGTCTCCATCAAGCCAAAGCCCAAATTTGCCACTGTAATTTGTTTAACAACATATTTAGTATTATATTAAACATATAGAAAAATAGCTATGATAAATAAGTAGAAACAAAATGTTAATAATATTAAATCATCTTAACTGCGACTGATTGATATAATTAATTTTTAATATTGGCAATATCCAAGAATGTATAAAAAAATTAATATTATTATGTAATTGAATACAACTTACTCTCCAGCACCAATAGCAATACTTTCATTATTTCCCTTAATAAAATACAAATTTTCCCCACTCCAGTGAAAGACTCGGAAATCAGGATTGAATTTGAAAAGTAATGATTCCCCTGTGCCATAGAAATGGTCGGACACTTTGAGAGAGCAAGATGTCAAAGCTCCAAATACCTGAAATTCAATATTATTGCTAATTATTTCTGGCTAATTTGACTTTTTATTAATGATAAGCTAATTTATATCCATCCATCTCATCTCATAAGCTACAGAAATACATACAACACGCACCATATATAAACATGAATGATATAATTAATAATTTCTCTTTAAGACTTTGTTTTCATTTACAATTATAATAAAATATGAAAAATAAAATACAAAATCTAAAAACAACCATATACTCACATTATTATCGGTATCTTGAATTACAATTAGTACTGGACTTTCGAGTCGTTGCATTTTCCTGTACATAGAATTTAGTGAAAATCCATGTTGGGAAGTGCTGAACACTAGAGACCACATGTAGCCTTCGGCTCGAGCTGGTAAGTGACCACATAATTTCTCTCTAAACAATAATAATACACATTAATTATATAAAACAGATGCAACTTGACATTTTCTTGTGCAGGATTATAAGGTAATCAAATATATAGTATTCAACAAAAGAAAGTATCGCAAGTTGTATTGAATTTTGAACCAAATTGCTGAAATAAGCAGTATAACTATACACCGAAAATTTTGCTTACATCATTTCGTTTTGAGAAGAAACCTCAAGAGACTTAACAGGCCTCTTAAACATTTGTAAATTTAAACTCAAATCACAATATTAAAACATTCTAATGGTTCACAAATTATTTCAAAACTAACGAAATTTGTTCAGCTATAAATGTAGCTTAAAACTCAACTAAACGAGTATTTTTTTATTTCAGATTTTGCAGTGTTAAGTTAAAAAAGGCCAAAACATTTAAGTAAAATAGCAATAAATAAACTACGAATTGATTATTTTAATTCACATAAATAAAACTAATAAGAAAACTATTATCATTCTGAAACATATTATCATTAATCATGATCATTATTATGTTGTTAAATATTATCAATTGTATAACGCCATTTTATTATCAGACTTAAAGTAGAATTAGTTTTTTATAATTTTTTTTGTAGAGGAACGAATTAAACCTGAATACTAATTAATTAATGATAAAATCAATATAAAACATATTAGGCTTGCAACGAATAGTTTATTCGGCAAAATGCCGAATACCGAATATTCGGCATGCTCTAGAGACCGAATACTATTCGCCGAATACCGAATACTTGAATACATGTGATAGAAAATAAATGGTAAAATCATGAAAAAATCGATTTTTTACATGTATGTAAATGTATTTCCCCACTTATTTCTTTCGTAAACATTCCATATTTTTTATATACTCATATTATTTATTTCTTATATATCGGAATGCTAATCTTAATAAAGTAAATAAAAATAATCAAAAATATTGTTTGTACTTGTATTTGGCGACAAAGAACCAATGATAGCTTCCAAATAGATGACCTCTATTTGAAAATGGTTAGATTGAATATAATAAATGACTTTATTGTATTGATACAACATATGCGTGTAACCATTGAATGATTCATATTAAATAATATAAACATGTAATAATAAAGTATGTTGTGAATATTCAGAAAAAAATCTTCATGTGTTAATTTATATTTCAAAAGTTGTTTAAATTTAAAAGTTCAAAAGTTTAATTAAATATTATATATACAATAACAAAATCATAAAACACCAACAATGCTGTTGCCGAACATTCGGCCGAATACCGAATAGTAAACGAATATTCGGTTGCAAGCCTACATACTATATTTTGCAAAGAATAATAATAGACCTTTATTCTTATTTCGCATTTTTTTAAAGTAGGCTAGAGTCATGCAAGAATTAACCTTTTCATTTTATTAAAGTCGGGTTTACAAACATCTCTTAGTAGACGCAAACATGAACACAAAAACCTTTGTAGAAACAAAAATGCAAACCAATGTGATTATTTTATTGTCAATGCCAATTGAAAATGAATGTTAATTCTGATAAGATCAATTAATTACCTGTGCTCTTCCGTAAGAATTTCGGTGTGTCCCACCAGTTCTGGTATTGGCAAATCCACTCCAGTGAAACGTTCGGCGTCGCATATAAAGCTCGCCGTAACTCGTCACTCATCGACAATACCTGATTTAGAAAAATATATATTAATACATTTTAATGTCGTTTTTAAAAACAGAAATCGCTAATCAAACATTCATTTATTTTTACCAACCACTATTTTTTTCTAAGCG